ACTCCCAAGGAAAAGAAGTTTCTTAATATGCCTGGTAGAGAAATTTATTGCACTGTAAACTTGGATATATGGTATTCCATTGATGGAGGATATAGACCTTATGTTCCGCAAGATCAACTTCATAATTATATAAGTTATTCAGAGCATAAGAGACGTCAATTGTCTGATAGACTATTCCATCAAAAATTAGTCGAAAAACGGTTACAGCAAGAGTTAGCTGAAAGACGATCACAACAAGAATTAGCCAATAGACTTTTATGACAACTATTATCTGTTGAAAATGTCATGTCTAAGACAAATAATGTCCCCCTTCCTTTGCCACCAAAGCCTTTTGCATTAATTCAGCATAGTGTAAGTACGCCTAAACTGAAGTATTTCTCAGATTATAGAACACAATTTTATATTAGACCCCTTCCTCCGAAAGGTCCTAGACCACGAACATGATGTCTCAATTCTTACGAAAAAATGCATAGATAATTAATATGTATAACTATTCACATTTTTTTTTCTTGGCAAAAGTGATCGGCATGATTTTTAAAATACGATCGAAGTGATACATAAATAAAATAGTCCTATATATGGAAATGTATTATATTAGCTTCATATTTGCTTACGCCTTACAGACAGCCAATGCATGTAGGCATTATGCGACAGCCATTAAAGTGCTAAAGCATGAATAAACATGTTTCTGATCCTCGATAAAATATATATGATAAAATAGAGATACACTGCCAATCATCTGTGCGACTATCTGCTTGTACGACAAAATAATTTTACACATAAATCCGTAGCTATCCTCCCCAAAAAATATTTTTGATTTTTTTTTCTCTTGTAATGTTCTAGAAAAATAATATATTAACGATATGTATATTTGCTCCGGAGAGACAGGGCTATTACTACCCTCTTTCAATTATAGACCTGCGGGAGATATCTATAAATATAATAGCATATCTAGATAGACGAAAAAACCATATATACATTACCCCCAATGTCTTTCTAAATGTCAAGATCTTCAATGCATATCCCTATTGTCTAATGCAAAATTTTGGCGTAAAAAGCATTGCATATTCTTCTGTCTCTTCTCCCTAACATGAATGCAAGCTCAGAGAGAACATATATAGAATCATTTAAAAAAATAGCATACGAAATTTTTCGTTCAGGTCGCTTATTCTATATTAATAATACTAAATTATGTCTTCTGAACTATATTCAAAAATTTACAATTTTTTAGTAACAGCTAAACAAGAACATATTATCACCACCTCAGTTATATATTAGGGAATAGAAGAAGACCCCTGGATTTCACAAAATGATTTGAGAAGTATTGTGGATCAAGCTATAGGATTTGCTAGTAATTTGTATTCTGAAGAACCTTTGCGTCAATTAAAACTACTTCGAATACTTCCTCAGGTTAGTTGTTAACCTTTATTAATATTTTTTTTCACTAAATGATGATAT